GGAAATACAGCATATAATAACTCTCAGTGGATTCACAAGTTACATGTAGGAACAAAAAGGAATTATCATGACACGGACTTAAAGGGTGTTTACAGCCTAAATAATACGCCACACTTAGAAAAAACTTGGGGGTGCATGGGTCGTAACTAGGGCTGGGCAAAATATTCGAATAACGAATATCGAATCGAATATCAAAATATTCGATTGGCATTTTACTATTCTAATACCCGGTACCACGTGACCTGCGCCGCTCTGCTTTAACACGGAATTCGCGCGTCGCCAAATCAATCGTGAATTGCGCGAGAATTCACAAACGGCGCTCGCTAACATACAAAAGCGACAAATTTTCTTTGCGTTATGATGTCATTTGTTTTCTTTTCACGCCTAACGTATCGTTTCATTTCCTTATTTTGTAAAATAGGTCCCCACCGTTGCGTAAATTTATGAACGTTTTGTAAATTATAAACGTATGACGATGTATTTAAAAAATCGGAAATTCTCATTGCCTTCTGTAACAGTCAGCGCGATTACGCGCTCGTTAACGAGACGTTTTTTCAGCGTATAATCAATCAATCAAATCGTTTTTTATTTGTCATTCCGATAAAATATACCAAAATGAAAACAAGAAAAATAAAAAAATATTTGTACAGAATGACGGGATAACCGCGAAATGACCATTCGGTCTACTTGTCAGCGGCGACCTTAAAATAGCTTAAAACTTATGGCTACAAAATTAGCATGATTTTTCTGTTGCGTAAAATGATCAATCCATGACAACTACGGCCTACGGGATTCCAAAATGTCTTTATATATTAATTTAATTATGTCAAACGTATCTCGCGGTTGCTTCTTCTTAGGTCAAAATTAAAACATTACTTCTCTGAAATGCCACGGCGATCTGTGGACATAAAATTATGGGTTAAACTGCCGGGTGTGTTTAATTTTAATACGTATTTTCGTTATCGCGGTTAGAAAAATCTCAATAACTGATATAAAATCCCGTAGAGTACAATTTCATTTCGTACAATGAAAATACATATAAAGTATATCGTTTAATCAAAAATACATATTCATCGCCGCGATTAGGCCACTTGTTAGAAAAGAGCCGACTTTTACAATGAATAATAAGTTTTCTGTTGTGCAAAGTAATCAATTTGTGACCGATAAGGGCATATTTAAAATGTCTTGCTTCATTGTTGTCTTCAATTTAACCAGCGGTTGAGTCGACAAAATAAAATCTTCACAATTTTAAAACACCACGGCAATCTGTGTGGTAAACTGCTCAAACATATAAAGCTTTGATTTCCTTATTTTCAGGACTTGTAACATCGAAAAATCCATAAATCTGCTGTAATATCTCAGATTAAAATTTCTTTTAGCAGAATAATTTTGCTTGAATATACATTTGATTGATTATCTTATATATATCATCACAACCCGGGGAAAACTGTCCCGTTTTAAACCTTGTATAATGTTGAAAAAAAAATTTCAGACGGCAATTTAAAGTAATGGATAATATGGCCAATCCCGCCCACAATTAACAGTGCTTCAATTTTAGTGACGATATGTTTTCTAAACGGCGATTAAAAATAATGTGTGCGAGAGGCAAACGAAATTTTGCGATTTTCAATGTCTAAAAAGGCGTTTTTAAATTGTCGCAGGCCTCAATAAAACTCCTATTGTTTAAAGTTTTATTTTCAGTATATTATATTTCCGCTTTTCAATCATAAAATTTGCGTTGTCCTCAGAAACTCGCCGCCGATGAACGTATATTATTAAACTATCGCCAGATTCGCAATTCCGTGTGTGTACAAAAATTAAATAAATATCATCGTTAACGTTGCACAACGTTGTGGAAAATTTTTGATTTAGAGAAAATGAAACGAACATAAAGTTGTTTACGGCCTAAATACCACGTCACACTGATAATAACAATCGGCGATTATAGCAAAATGCTATCGCACGCGTTATTGGCGACTTTTACAGCTTTAAAAAATTTTCAACGGCAACGCACGGGTATACCTAATATATAAAACTTCAATGTCCGCCGACCCGCAAGAATTGATACTTTCAAAAAAATGAATCGGGCGGGAATACAGATTACGAACTTTAGGATCGCGGCGACAAAAACAATTAGCGATTTTAATGAACTTAACCAGTAAATAAAAAAACGCTTTGTTGTCGACTTTTCAAAGTTTCTTCTAATTTTCGAAGGGAGTATCGACCTCCGACGGACCACCGTTGTATTCAAAAAAAATTCGTTATTCGACTATTCGGTATTCGTAAAAAATATTCGAACTATTCGATTCGAAAAAAATATTCGATTTTGCCCACCCCTAGTCGTAACCCCTCTGTTTGGAAAAAAAATTAGTTGAATTGCATCTACAAAAAAGCAACAGCGTCGTTTTACGATCGGGCATCAAACAAATCACAGCGCATCTAAAAGCAAAATAGCATTTATTAACATTAATATACAACGATTTACGGATAGGAATTTACCGACGGCTATCGCTAACTGATAGAAACGACAAATGGGAATTCCTCTTGCGTCATATTTTTCAATTCCTAATTTTGCATAAAGCATGTCAACAGTCAACAGCGTTTTTGTAAATTTAGAAACGTCAAACCAGATGGGTAAGACAGGTAAATAATTTATTTTATGGGAATTTCTCGAGATACTGGAGAGAAATATTATTTTGACCACATAAAAATGTCATTATTGCCGATTTATTCACGTTACGTGAATACTCAATACTGAGTATTCAAGAGATTACCAATTTGCCGAGCTTCTAATTATTATTTGATACGAAAGTAACACGGACACCATCTAAAATAAAAGCATAAAAATGTCAACTATCCGCTTCACAAATATCGCATCCCGGGGTCAGTAATGATAATATTGTTCGCTTAAAATTGGGACACTATTTACAATCTATATACAAAACCTAAACAGAGGATAAAAATCAGAATAAAATTAATTTGTGTTGTGAATGCACTCCCCCAATAGTTGTCTTTAACATCTTCGTCGATGTGAACTCACAATTCTGTCAGAAATATAAAAACCAAACTACGATATCCGCCGTTGCTTGAGAATTAATATTTGCTATTAAATAAAAAAAGGTGCTTTAATATAATTTAACAACATTAATTGGAATGTCGGCCGCCGAAACGATCGCGGTGACAAAAAATGTACTGCATCCTTCGTTTATGACAAAGTTATTATGAAATAAAAAAACGCCGCATTGTTACAGAGTTTTCAGTCTTCTAGTAAAATCCTAAAAAAAAAAATTTTGGCCGACATGCCAATTCATGTTGTGACATGAAAATGACAATACTCATTATTCGGTGTTCGTTGAAAATATTCGAATAATTCAATTAAAAAATACGGTTTTACCCGCCACTAATCACGGCGCATGTATAGATTAATTGAATGGCAATAAAAACCAACTTCATTACCAATAAATTCCAAGTAATAGTTTCACATTTCATGCTTTTGATCGGCGCTACATGCGAGCGTGTATTTGTATATATAAACCATTATGACGCTACTAACATCTGTGAGTTATAATTCTCTATAAAATTAATTTTCGTGATATTTACCTGTGAAATTTCGCTGGGAACGGCGCATACATTTTAGTTTATTAAACGCACTACGTCGCCGTGAATTGCACTTTAGGCACGTTGGGAAAATTCTTGCTGCGCCCCTGGTTGTTACATAGTTGTAATCTTCTAGCTATACATTTCCTCCTAGCTAGACATTTCCTAATTTTACCCGCCCACTAATCACAAGGTGGAAATTCAAATTTTCAAATTATTCCTAGCCCTAACCCCAACTGGATATCTACAAGTTATTATTTTAAAACGTGGGGATTATTTTTCTCAAATCTCACATTTTTGCAAGAGCTATATACAAAAGATCCAAAAATCGACTCGATTAACATTAAGTTACAACTTACAAGTAACGGTTAACATTTAATGCACATTTAATCGATGCTACATATGAGCTTGTTTTTGTGTATATAAACAATTATAAGCCACTGGCATTCGCGAGTTGTGCATCTCTCTGAAAATCAAATAGCTAGCTGATTTATGAAACAATAAAGAGCGAACAAAGCGTCATGGTTACTGCTGATTATGTATTAATGGTGGACAATTAGCAAGTAGATGCTGAAAATAAGACATGCTAAATATTGGACATCTGGCGAAGGGAGGCAACATGCAAGCATAGAATTTGTTCAACATACTTTCACTGTAAACGATGCACAACGTTCAGTTCTCTAAACGCCTTTCGGCGCCATGGATTGAACTTTTGGGCCTTTGGCTTACTCTTTTAATTTTACTGTTACCCCCCTCCCAAAATATTCTAGCTGCGTATTGGCACACCATCCAAATTCCAATAATTCCTCTCCATTTGGTTCAATAAAATAACACTCCAAATGTCTCCTAAATGAGGAGAGTCTGGCACGACGGCAGATGCGTCATGCTTGTCTCAATAATCGAAATCAATCGCAGCCGGCACATGACCAAAATTGCCGTTTTTTGCAAAAACTCTCGAATGCCACGTTAAAAAAAAATTTCCTTCAGTAAATCGGATTTTTTTTCCCGGCGAATTCAATGATGACGTTTTTAGATTGCGCTTTTTAATATTTTGCGCAGCTTCATTATACTTTTTTTCCACCGATATTGAGGGACAACAATGTTCATATGTCTCCCATAGGAGGGGTGTCTGATCATGAAAAAAAAATGGGTTTCTCTGAAACGAGACAATGTCGCTTGATCTGTATAGTGTGCCGTACTGTTGTGCACAACACATGATTAGCCATCAAACACTTTTTCTCTTTACCTCGTTTGTCACCTTCCAAATATTACAGAATTAACTTTTGTGTTAATGGTAATTTATCAGTTCAAGCTGTGGGGTGCTCCGACTATATTTATATCATTAATGAATGGCAACTCTCCAATAATAGTCCTTTAGACTGTTCGGTACTATTTCACCCCACCTGATGTCAATATTTTCCTTTCATTGTGCTCTTGTTAATTCATTTGTATCTGTTCTTAGTAGTCTTCTTTTTCTGTTTTCTGCTATAGTCTTGTCAATTTAGACTTGACACCCCAGTCATTTGTTCATTTATTCTTGATCTAAATGTGAAACATGGTGTAGTGCATTAATATATTTCACTTCCCTGCTCATTTCTGCGTTTATAGATTCACAATAGGTATCGGTATGGTACCGTACCATACCGCTGGTGTTTACCGGTATTGATCAAGGCAAATAATCTTCATTTCAACACTTTTTGTGCCAATTTGTTATTGTACGGTACTTGATTTACGTCATCTGTGATCATTGTCTAGCACAGGATGGTCCAAACCCAGGCCTGTGGGCCACATGTGGCCCGCCGCGTCATTATCTGTTGCTTGCGACGCATTTGCGCAAAGGTAAACAAAAAATCGCATTTGGCAGTTTGGAGTTGTTTCGTCATAAAAATAACCAAAAAATATTTTGATGTCACTGAATTGAGTAGTGTTATGCCTAGCTGAAGCAACTAGCAAAGTTGATTTATGTGCTTGGGTTGTCTAAATTGTTTTCTGGCTTTTCAATTTTTTGGTCGGAAATATATATGAAAACAAAAGCCAAAAACTTAGGAATTATCTTCCTGTATCCCAACTCGGTAATCAATCAATCTGCAGTTATTTGTAAGTTCTTTTGAAAACATGAGTTTGAAAAGAAAACTGACCAATTCAAACAGGTTTTTTGACTGGATATGGATGGCATACCATACCATAATGCTTGTATACCGTAATATATCTGCAAGTTGTGTCGATGACAATCTGAAACGGCATTCTCTCCGTTATGAAAAGTTTGAAATCTTACACTAAGTGTAGATATTGTAAGATTTTTGCACGTTTTTGGAGGCGCAGTTCTTACCACTTCATGGCAGCTCCTGCCACGAACGAACCGCGGCAGCTCTTGCCATGGTTTTATAGCGCTATCCAGTATTCAGTAATCAGTATTAACGGTATATTCACAAATTAGTGTACCAGATTTTAATTGATCATGTGGAACTATATCTACTTAAACCCTAACCCCAAATCAATCAAAACTGTATCCATAAGAAAAACGTTCCAACTTACCCAATATTTGTCACCATTATGGACAGCCCTGTCTTTACGACCCACCTGCCGCGGTTACGGCAGCAAAATTTTACCTGCCATTGGTTTTCAATTTGCTGCCGCGGTAACGGCAGCTCGACATTGGTTTGTGGCAGCTAAAAAGTCAGTTGCCATGAGTTTGGCCGTAGCGGCCATGGTAATGAAATACCGCCATGGTTTTGCGGCAGCTGCAGATGCCACAGAATACTTAAAACTGCACTTGCGTTTTTGTGAGTTTTTCGGTGGTTTTTGCACGTTTTAGCTTGATAAATGATAAATAATGATCATTGTGTTTGGACAATAGAAGTGTTTGTTTTGTATTGCACTGTTTACCCATTCTAGGCACTATTGTGGCCTGCGAACAATACAAAAATAATAATATGGCCCGCAAGGCCGACAACCTTGGACCACCCTGGTCTAGCACTTCACAGTAAACCAACGTGGGTGTCTAGGTCACCTTCAAAATTCCAAACTATTTTTCAGAAAAAACATATTCGATTCAGGTACCTACCTATTCCGGTCTGCCGGTAGAACGGGGATTCCTCGGTCATACGCTGGTCTTGTGGCTCTTTTAATACGGTACTCCATAATTTCTAGTGATAATCGATAATGGCCTAGTTGGCTACGGCACCGGTACCGGTACCGCTAATTGGCAAAATTCATACCATGCTTACCATTAACAATAACAGTAATTATTAAACTATCTTTCCCAATCTGTTGAAACAGGTGTTAGAACCTTGGGTCCCCTCGGCTTCTCTGAAAAAAATATACTTGACTTGAAGATCGTAAACTTTTAAAGTACCGTACCGTACCACTTGCATAAACAGTGAGTACGGTAATTGATTTTCCATGGTTTTCATAGACTGAATTAGGCCATGTCCTACAGTTACCAGTCCATGTCGGGTACCGGTACCTATGGAAATATTCAATCACTTACCGGTACAGGTACGGTACTTACCGTATTTCAGATACCGGTACCGTACATGGCAGCTATCCCGGTACCGGTATTTCACTTTATGTTAGGATGAGATTACTCCAACTCGGATTCTCGTTAGCGGAGTCGGTCCGACTACCATCAATGTAGACCGCAACCTTTATGTTAGTAATTTATAAGACAAATCGGCTAAACCAGCTAAGCTAAACTGGGCACATCGCGTTTATCAAAGCTATTAAATGCACCAAGACGAACGTTTTGATGGCAAAAAACATGGATTGATTTATGCAAAGTTGCCAGAAATAAGTGGAGTGTTTGAGTCTTCGTAAGTCAACTTCATCAACACTAAAATCGATTCAATATAGCTTAGTGTTTCTATGCAGCACTTTACGCAATAGATAGAAATGTTCTACATAAATTTGAATTCTTATATCACACAAGAATGGACCTTTCCCCGACCTTTAACCTTTATTGTTTTGATTTTGGTCGCTCAGACCAATGACATTAAACAACATGATAGGCAACTCTGACGTCACTCCATAAGACTACAGGCGAAACATTATATTTCATGATACGCACCAATGCACATATTTCTCGTCGCCTTTCGCGTCAGTTTTCCGCTCGCTTTTGCTACTCGGCGTCTTTTTTACGTGTAGTACCTGTCTTTTTGCGCCTGTAACGGAACAAAATAATCTCTATATCTAAGAAGTTTTGCTTACTTGGAAAGCTGGAATAACAGGCAAGCTGTAAAGAGCAATTCTGGACATCATAGACGTTTTTTTTTATCAGAGAAGATTACAAACGCGATAGCGGAAAGATTTGTGTGGAACATTGTGCAGATAATGACAAAGTTCAAAGTTAGTAATTTTAATGTTTGCGCTTAATCATTGAAATTTCATTTAAAGAGGGTGTCATACAAAACTGTGCTGCGATACAATTCCATAACACAAAGTTTGCACCTATCGAACTTGCTTTTGTAGGTGAATTTATTAGACATATTACATATTCAGTTAATCGTAGGTAACATTGCTGGTACATAATGCATCGTAGATAGGCTTGTTTAAATTTAGGAATTTAGCTCATAGCCCACTAATTAATATCATCTTCTATGCAGGAGGTTGCAGGGCTGAATTCAACTTGCAGCCTTACCGATCACCTGACGATGCTCATTTAGTTTGGCTCGAGCAAGTCTTCTTGAAATGCTTGTGTGGATGGAAACTACCTATATTTTTTGCCTTCCTCCGATTTTAGACAAATTTATTCTGAGGGATTTCGCATATAATTCTCACTGATTGTTGGCTGTTTATAATTCCTATTGATTGTGAATTCTGATTATAACAATGAGTTGAAAATTTTTTACCTAATTTACTGGCACCTTTTTCTTGTCAATACTCCAAGCTGAGGTAATAAACATGACAATACATTTATGTCATCTGGAAGCAAAATATGCACACTAATTAATAGTTTGGCACATTGAGATAATACATCATGACAGAAAATACAAGTTAAAGATATGTATGACCATCACATGGTAATTAAAATTAAAAAAATTAATAGGGGCTGTGGAGTATGAAAAGTTCAAGACAAAGAAAAGAACAAATGTTCATAGCTCATGAACTCTCAATTTTGCCTCCATTGCTTTGTGAAGGCCAATATATTTCGAGTGGCTGAATTGGTTTACCTTTATGATAGCAACGATTATGTATTTAATATAGCGAGATTATTTCAATTTAATTGAAGTGATATAATTTCCCAAAGCAATGCTTGAATCGTCTAGAATAGATCAGTGGTGTCAAACTCATGGGTTTTCGAGAGCCGCATTGCATTTTGAAAATTGTAAAAAGAGCCGCAAACAGTTTTTGATAATGTATACTTAAAAGATATTTTTAAGATAGTTTTAGTTTGTGACATATATTGTGATGCAACTAAACAGTTGGATTAAGTTTTATTATTTTCTTCAATTTCAAATGCAATTACATATTAATATTTGCATTCCACTATTATTGCAACATTTGCAAGTTACAGTATTCATTATAAAAAATCGTAAAATTCTATGTACAACCATCAAAATCATTTTTGAACAAGCTTTGAATAAGGAAAGAATAATACATACACTAAAAATAACTTAATCTAAATATATGAACCTAAAATTAACAAAAATACTACAGTATAAACTCAATGTTTTAATAATTACATTTGTCCTGGCGTTTGGCATCTTTTTTGTGTCACCAGCATACTAAGGCCAGTCTGAAATGATTTTATAGTACCAACTCTAACTAACGAGGCCACATGATCATGGGTTTATCTGGATCTTTACGAATGTTTAATCAATTCCAGTAATGTAAAAAAGTTACTTTTATCATTTCATGTACGAGATCAGTATTGGGTTGAAATTCATAACAATGATTAATGAACATGTTCCGGATACGATATGTCAAGGATACGCATGAGTGACCTTGGCGACACGCTCCAGTGTCGTATAGATCAGTAAAAACAAATGACAGATTTTTTCGACAAGACATTTCGCACTACATTGCGTGGCATAGGATTGCTTGAATTATTGTTGATATTGATTTTTAGTAACTAAGTCGTTGTATAATTATATTAATATACAAACACATGGAAATTTTCTGTTCGAAGTTGGTCTTCGAATTTGTCATATTGACTGCTGAGCTTATTGTGTTTTTTGATTGTTTTGATGGAAATATGACAAATTAAACAATGTGCTTCAGAATTTTGTGAAGAGCAGAAATGTTACAACTCCCATTTTCTTCGAAAATGCCACCTTCTTCATGTACTTTGCGTTTAATTTAATCACTCAAGTGTTTTATTCAAGTATTCTTTTGCTAGCTTGATGTGTATTCTTAATTGGGTCAAAATGTGACAAAAAAAATTAATATTCCAAAACTACTTTCAGTAAATTGTTTTCTGTGTGAATAATCAATTTCACTTTAGAAGGTTTGAAAAATCTATTACATTTAGATAAAAAAAAACTTCCAAAATACTATTACAATTATTGTTAAGCGTTCGAGGGCCGCACTGGAAGTTCTCTGGGGCCGCGAGTTTGAGATCCCTGGTCTAGATTGAAGTTGTTCAAAAAATATATGATAGTATTTTATCATGAATGATGATTATACCCCTTCCGGAATTTCTTCTATAGTACTACCAAAAGTTGATGAACCAAATATAACACAGGTGCAGTGAGGTACCCGTAATCCTCATTTCCAAAGCTGTTTTAAGTATGTCTGGCGTGTTTTGTGCCTTTTTACAAATAAGACCGCTTATGCAATCTTACGCTTTGGAATTTTTAGTTATTTTCCTCAAGCCCTGCAGGATGTGGGGGCCATAACAACTCTACCGGAGGGTCAAATGTCTTTGCATGCCTCCATAGGTTGTTTTTCTATTGCAAACATTATATTTCTTGGAATCACACTGTCACTGATATGTCGCCAGACTTCTGATATCTCCCCGTCTGCTATAGTTGTCCTGTGAATAAATAATAGGAAATTGAGATTAGACGAATAGTTGAAAGTTTTGCTTTATGTCGGCTTAATTTCTTGATTGATATACTTACTATTTCTGCTATTGCCTCTTGTACTGCAAGAGTCTCACAATGCTTAGACAGGTTTGTCCACAACTTTCACATCTGAAGAAAGAGAGGAGATTTATTAATTTTCGTTAAGAATAAATAAAGCAGTCTATATGATTTAGAATGGAAAAGCTAATAAATCCAATATCTCATGTTTTATGTAAAAAATATTTTACTGAATTTGGTATATAAACCAACTAATAAAAGGGTTTAGTCAGAAAATTACAAGCATTCGTGGCTCCAAATACTTGAGAAATCAGACTATACAATATAGACCGGTATGAGTGAAATGTTAGGTGAACTTGTTAACACTTTGATTCAATACGCAAATAAAAGTGAATGCGCAATAGTATGTTACAATGAGCAGCAATCAACAATGAGTATATATCCTCACTGATTAAAAAAATCTAACTGGAGGTGCATGAACTATTTGAAACCATAAGGGGTAAGTAAATATGTAATTTCGGCAAATGGGCAACTACGTACCGTACTGAATTAATAACTTCGTAGTATTTGACAAAGGCTGGCTTTCCCACATGTACTTAACAGTGCGATGCCCGGGTGTGATATACAACAATAGTATTCACCTTACCTTTTACCGATTTCTTTTTACCCCAACTTTCAAAAATATCATTAAAATCGACAACAACTGTCAAAGCAGGCACGAACACCATTCGTGCTACGCCTTGAAAGCAGCACACATCCGATCGTTTTCGTCTCGTCAAGTATGTGCATTGGAGCGTGCTATCGAATACGATCTTCGGACAAAAATGCCGGAGTTGCGCATCATGTTGTTTAATGTCATTGCTCAGACAAACATTGCAAATATTCAGGCTTGTGTAGGGCGATAGAGTGGTACATTGCTCGTTTTAAAGGCCTTCGAATGGCATTTCACTGGTGATGGCGGTATTTTCGTGCTTCTGAAGTTATAACATATTGTCAAGTGATCAATTATTAACGTTATTCCGCCTTCACATTGCCGTTACCGTACCTGACTTAGTTCCAAAAGCCTATTTAACATACAAAAATGGAATCACTCAAGAGATGACTTTTCTATGGCTGTATGGACTTGATTCTCCAAGAACTTTTATTTCCATCAGCTGGAGAAGGATACAAAACTTTTCATTGAAAGGTGATATTTAAACTTATATGGTTGAAGAATGTCAGATGACTGAGAGACCTGCGTGACTACCGGTACCGTATCCCATGGTTCATAGACTAATAGTTAGCGTCCAAGTTAGGCCTGAATTTGTGGGTTTAGTATAGAAACAAATGAAATGCGGGGCAGTTTCAAAAGTCTTTTAAATACATTTTCTAGAAACATTGCACAAACTACAGCAATCTGTAATTATGAACAGATGAATATTTTTTTAGATACATTCATGATGGTTCGTTCAATCGTCAATCTTGGTTCAACGCTGGAGTGCAAAGCCAAGTGCTATAGATAAGTTCAGGAGTCTCTGCCACCACATCATCTTCAAATGGTGACCGTACATTTGAACCCATGTACATTTGAACCCATGCGTATATCCACGGGTTCAATCTATATGCGGGTGCTAAAACCCATGGGTTAGGGTTAGTATGGGTTTAACTATCCGTGAAACAAAAAAAAATTCCATAGGTGCAATAGCATACAGGTGCAATTGTCATGGGTTCAAATGTACGTGGGTTCAAATGTAATGGAACCTCTTCAAATAGTTGTGTCGCTGGATAGTCACCAAGTCTCTGATGCAATTTGTACATGCTAGGCCTATGCACAGTGAAGGCACTTAAGTTT